TACACACACACACACACGACACACACACACACATATATATATATACACACACACACACACACACACACACACATATATATATATATATATATAAATATATATAAATACAAGATGAGAACTTTAAATGGAGTACATACAGTTCGATACGGAGCGTCTGATTGTGGCCCTTTGGCGTTGTCCTGTCTGTAGTATTTGCAGTGGAGAAAGTGACATCAAATAACTGAGTATATCGCAGCAGTCAATTGGTGACCTGAGAGTAGATAGTTCGCTAAGACCCCAACAACCCAACAGCCCTAAACCCTGAAGGTTTGAGATAACCTATGTCGCTCAGCAAGAATGTAGCTGCCCACAACGACATGGTAATAGGGGTACTCAAACCCTTAACCTTAACCTTTAAAGAGTGACTGTAACAATACGAAATAAAGCCTAAAACCCTAAAACTGTGCAACATCACGAATAACGCTAACAAGCGAAACCCTAAAACCTTAATAACGCTAACAAGCACAGCAAATGACAACCTACAACAAACAAACTATAGCCCAAACAGCCGACGCCCTATAATCAAAGCGACTGGAGGAAGAATCAGGTCACTTACTACGCACATACAAACAGCAAAATAACAGACACTCTAACAATACACACAAACAACTAACAAAACAACAGACACTCTAACAATGCACACATACAACTAACAAAATAACAGATACTCTAACAATACACACATACAACCAACAAAATAACAGACACTCTGGTGCCCATTTGTGCAGAGCATTTGAGTCCTTTGATGATTACACGCACATTGTTAGTCCTGCCAAATCGGCTGCCGCCAAATCCACTTCGCGTTGTGTTATCTCACTTCGCAGATCGCCAATCTTCGTCTGAATTTTGGCGCCTTTGTCACTCAATTTGCCGATGAAAGCCCTGTGGTGTAGTATGCGCAGGGTTTAGGATTTAAGGTTTAGGGTATAGTAACACCAAGACGAGAATGCATATCATTGGTCGTGTGGTGTGAGATTTCTGCCTTTGCTTTGGCATGAGAAGCGCTGGGTGCGATAAGAGTCCTCTGCAACACATCAGATGGAGTGGCGTAGGGGTTTACCGGTCCAAGCCCTAGTAGCAGCGTTTAACCACACATACAGTGTACTGATATATTTACTAATAGATGCACCTATTGCTATCATGGTATATGGTAATACATGCTACAAATAGATACACCCAACCCAATCATGGTATATGGTAATACATGCTACAAATAGATACACCTAACCCTATCATGGTACACACCCCTACAGTGCACTGGTGCGCCACTTACTTGTTGTCGAACAGTTTCTGCTGAGCAGCCAATCGCTTCTTCAACTCGGCCAGTGGGAGATTGGACGACTTTGATTGTACCTTTGGAGTTGGGAGTAGCACAGCGAGGCATTGCATCAGTGTCATGAAGGGGTGTAGGGTTAGGGTGTGGGAGTTTAGGGTTAGAGTGTGGGGTTTTAGGGTCAGGGTGTAAGGTTATTATAGTTCACAGTTCGAACAAAAGGGCTGGAGCTAACTGAGAGATGGGCGGTTGAATACTGTGACCGTACACAAACGATGGCACAGAACAGACGAGTCTCATCTAGAAGACATCGCTACGCACTTCAATGCGAACGACAGAGTGTATTTAAGCATGACCAGAACACACGAGAAACGGTAGCTGACTCAGACAAATGCAAACAACAGACAACACCGCACGCGATTCAGAGTACTTCAGAGTGTATACAAGCGGCACACACACATACACACACACACACACACACACACACACACACACATATATATATATATCTCTCTTTCGAAATTAGTACGCAACCCTCAGGATAGAAAGATGGTGTACTGTACAGATCGTATATCCATTGTTATAGCAATAAGGTCTCCGTAGATCTTCCCCTCAGAACATCCACCTTATAACGCCACGCCTCTCCTCTCTACCGCCTCAGCTAAAACAACCGCAGCAAAGCACAAGGCATCGTCTACTCCCTTTACTCTCATCACATTCAACTAAAGGACATCCCTAAACCCAAAACCCTAAAAGACATCTCCTGAGCTCATCGCATGTGCAGCTTACCGGATCACTGAAGATCAGCTGAGCTGTCCCTCTCATCACTCAAGCACGAGTGCTACTATGAGTACTTAGCATGCCATTCTGGGATAGTCATCATTTGTGCACGTCTGTCCAGATTGACTGATATATATATATATATATATATACATATGTATATATAATAATATATATATATATATGCATATATATATAATAATATAATAATATAC